TCACAGCCAGAGGTCTTATGTACGACTGTGGCTGCTTCTGTAACAAATGTTTAATATATTAGTAAGAGCTTTACTGAGCTAGAACTTGGGCATGAGGGAGAGGGTCTGTGTCCGCGGGCTGTAAAATATTAGAGTTTGGATCTAGGGCTTGGGTTTGTGCAAAGCCCAATTCAGCAGAACAGATGTTTTGTGCCTTGCTGCCCCTTCTTGTAGTGAAGTGGGTAAAAAACAAACAAACAAACAAACCCTTAGAGAAGCATAACAAAGGTGTTACCCAGGACAAGGTGTTGAAGATGTTTGTTAAAGGTTTCTATAGGTGGTTCATGGCAAGGGGAGCCACTAGAAAGCGGATAGATGCAGTGTGTGACAGCACCTTGATTTCTTGGAAATAAGAGAGTAACTGGAAATCCCTAAATTAGCAAAAGTTACAGGCAACCTGTTAAGACCCTGTGTTTCACTTTTCCTACACTTGATGCCGAAACTCTGTAACACCCCGTTGTAAGTGTCACTTCGTGTGATTCACCTAAAGGACAGCGTATTTCCTTTTTTGGGGAAAAACAGAAGGCAGCACTGTCACGCTGCTTTCCTGGCTTGCTGCTGAAGAGCATTGCATCAATAACATACAGCAGGTTACATCATCTGCTTCCACTGGTGGCTTCATTGGTGCACATATACTGCTCTGGCTGGAAGAACCATATACGTTTCAGCGGCTGCTGACCATAGAGAAGTTGCTAAAGCCCCAAGAAGTTGTTGGGGTTTACAACTTCAGATTTCACAGAGCAGATGATGGCATCTGGACAGATTTCTCATCTGATCCTTATGGCTGAGATGATGGGAATTGCTCTGCCAGGGCAGCATGTAGAAATTACAATACAGTGTGAGCTGATGTGATAGCAGCGCTTTTAAGGAGCTGTTGGTGTATGTGGAAAGAGGTAAAGCTCAGAGGAGGGAGCCTTCGAAAGATGCTGTAAAGGAGGCTGCTGCCTGGTGGCTCCCCAGGCTGAATCTCCTGGAGGGGCACCCAAGGGTGTTTGTAAACCCCAGCGAGGCACAGCCCAAAGGGTGGGCAGGCAGCCCCCAAAGCAAGCTGGAGCCGAAGGGGCTTGTCCTCAAGCCAGGGAGGGAAAAAGGGGGGTTCTCTTACTCCCTGCCCCCAGCACATGGAGAAGAGGGACTGTGGCATAGGGAATGGGGCTTTGGTGCCCCTGAGCTGGGTTTTATCTCGGCCTGCCTGGGAGAAACCTCTCTGTGACGTGAATAACTTGTGATGTAACTTGTGATGTGGATAACTGGTGCCGTGTTTCCCTTTTCTGCCCCTGCGGCGTTGCTGGTGCTGCAGCCGGCATGTCCGCGTGCGTGGCACAGCCGAGGCCAAGCACTGGTTTCGTCTCTGAGTGTGGGAAAGGGGCAGAAGGGAGCCCTGAGAAATGTGGGAACTGCTGGAGCGTGTGTTAGTTAGCCGGGTCCCTTTTTTCTTCTGTCGGAGGATTTAAATACCTTCCTTTCTGAAAAACTGCCCTGTGAGGTGATACTACCCAAATTCTGCCCTAAAATCACTGAACTGGCTCATAAGGGTTGGACTAGATGATCTTTAAGATCCCTTCCAATCCCACCCAAACTGTTCTCTGATTCTATAGTTAAAACCAGCCTAAAGTCTGGCTTGTGCTGGAGTCGCAATTCCAAACTCTTGTTTGCAATCCTCCGGGCGAGGACATTGCTGTCTTCCTCCCCTCATCTCCTGCCTTCCCTGGGGTGCAGGCATTAATGCCCCGCGCGCTGCTCAGCTCCCTGACCGCGGGAGCACGGGCAGTGGCCAGCCCGCCTCGTGAAGGGACGTGGTGCTTGAATTTGTTGGGGTTTTTTTTGTGTGGTGTTTTGGTTTTTTTTTTTTTTCCCCTTCCTCGCTGAGCTCTGTGTGGAGCAGTGAGTCACCCCTCGCTCCTCACATCCCGCACGTCGGAGGGAGGCTGGAGGCTTTCCCCGCCGCTGCCCCTCCTGCCCCCCGCAGCACCCGCACCGGGCGGGAGGTCATTCACAGCAAGCAGAACGCTTCAAGGAAACTCTGCCAGTGAAATCTTGGGGTTTTTTTGCAAGTTTTGAATGTGCTTAGGAAACGGTATTGCAAGACTGGCTGTAAAAGTTGCTAAAGACTTGTCTATCCCTCCTCAGTGTCTGTTTTTTTTTTTTTTTCTTTAAATAAAAGGTCCTTATCTTCTGTGCCAACTTGGCAGCAAAGGTTGCAGCCGATTCCTGTATTCAAGCTATGTTTTTCTCTTCTGCGATGCTTTGAAAAATGACCATTGCAGAAAAGATAGCTGGAGGAGACAGCAATTAGACAGGGAAAGTTCAAGGTCACCATAGCTCCAGCCAGGGCTGGCTGCACGGTGAGGCTACTGGCTCCTCGCGGTGTAAGATGTGCTCTCTCCTTCCAGCCCCGGAGAGCGACGAGCAGCGTAAGCTGTTCAGGCCCTGCACAAACACCAGAAAGCAGCGTGTCTGTGCAGTACGCAATCCCAGAAACAAAGGTCAGTGTGAAGTGTTGGAATCATGACATTTTGCCCAAAAAAAGTTGTTTTGGGTTTTCTTTTTTTTTTTTGAGGCAGGATTTTCTTTGCCTCCTGAACCTTATATTTGAAAGTCTCTTTTCCAACCTGAGGGCTAGGAAGGGTGCTTTTTATTCATTAAATATGGATGGAGATGTCTATGCAATCCCGAAGGACTAAGAGCTGGAGTGGTAGGGAGAGCCCAGGATAATTTTGAGGGTTAACCAAGCAGCTGATAATCATCTGTGGCAAATGCCTTTTATAGCAGCACTCAGATTGTGTTGATTTAATTAAATAATGTTTAATTCAATTTTGTTTTAAATTTGAGTAACAAAGTCTGTGCAAGCTCGTTGTGTGGACATTTAAATTGGATTAAGAGTGGATAAAAGGATTAATGATTAATACTAAATTAGACTAATTTTAGCTGTTCCTAATCTTATTTAGGAGAGTCTGCACAAGGAGGTTGTCAGGTTTAATTGCAACTTTGATTAAACCCAGCTTTATAGTTGGGAAAACTGCATGAGTTTAACGTCATCTGGAAGAAGAGCTCTGCCTGAATTCGCAAGGCAGCGTAAGCACCTGAGGCTTAACCTAAATGTTGCCGGCTGGGGAAGGCCGAGCCGTGCGACCCCGCAGAGCGGCTCAGGGAGATGACGTTCCGCAGCCTGGCTCCGCTCACCGGCTTTGCACATGCTGAGCTCGGCCAGCGCCCAGTGCACGGTGCCGGAGCCTCCAGCTCGGGTAAAGCTGCTTTGAAATTGCTTTGGAGGGTGCAGGCGAAGCCGTGCTGCAACCACTGCTGCTCTGGGGCAGCTCTGCCCGCAGGAGCCCAAATTTAACCCTCCTGCTGGCGTGGCTCGTTTTGCATGGGGGTAACCTTGGTGACGCTCTTGGGAGTGGGAGCACTGGGAGCGTCAGCTCTGCCCTTGCTGTGGGTGGACATGCTTGAGGAGAGGAGCGGTGAGCGTTTCCAGCTCTGC